ATGTGATAGATAGATAGATAGATAGATAGATAGATAGATAGATAGATAGATAGATAGATAGATAGATAGATAGATAGATAGATGTTATTTTGACATTTATTTATTCTTTTACATATTATCTTATATCCACTAACAGGACTTCTCTGGGCAGTACTATGCTTGGTATAAAGGGATGAAACTTTCAGATACAAGTTCCACCAGATCAGAGTTTTTAGTTTCTTCTTCTATTTGTTGGTGTAACCCAATGCTGAGATGTAGGTCTTTCAGAAAGCAAGTTTAACTCTGAGATAGAATTTGACCATTGTCATTACATGACGCAGACCAATTTAAGATATTCCTTGAAATCCTACTCATTTCTAATCATTGGACCAATATGAAAATAACAGGTGTTTAACATGAAATGTATATTTCACAGTTCTGTGTTTGCTAAAAGATGAAATGCAGAAATGTAGATTTGGGAAGAGGACTAGATGAAAGAAATATTATAAAACAAATAATGTATTCTGAACCACAATGCTTCTATTTAAAGAAATGCACAATGCATTTTTAAAGAAAAAATTCTTGCAAAATTATGAGCAGATGGCATGACAGACTGAAATGAATTAAATGTATGTGCAAAAAAATAAATGTTGGATGAGTTGTGAAGAACAGGGAAATTATTTTCAAATGATGTGGCATTGTAAATATATACAAGTATTCTGTGGAAAAGTAGTTGACCAAATTGAACAGATGACAAAATATATTGCTCATTTCTGAGTTTTAATTTATCCTATTAAATAAGGCTTGAAAAGAAACTGAGGTAGTAGATACTAAAACATTACACAACTGCTTTAAAGTAGCAAAATTATGCATTGTACAGAATTAGTTGAACCGACAAAAGTTCTTACTAAGTGGGCTTAACACACGTTAAAAATGTGCCATAAGAAAATTCGTATAATCAGATTTTCACAGCCAAGGGCTGAAAAAGCTACATAAATCAGCTGTTTGTTCATGTGAAGATATGACAGCTTTCCGTGAGTTTTACAACTTCAGTGAGATAAACCCGCAGTTATGTTCTTCCTCTGAAATCTTGTTTCAGTCTAATGTTGTAGATGGCACTCTACACAATAAGGAAGAATTTATTAACATGAGGTCTGAGAACATTATTAACACAAAAACATTTTAAAAAATGCATCTGCTCAAATTGTTTCTTCCAAATCGGTACTATTTCTATATGCTAGTGACCTCATAATAAACAGGTTGACTACCTCTGTAACAGAGACCTGTAGAGATGAGTCTTGTCAAGAATGCACATTGAACAGTACTACCATCCATAACAGCGACTAATTTTCTCCAATCATAAGCATTGCTAAGTTTAATACTATCCTGTTCTGTGCAAGCAACTAAGCAACACCTTCCCCAATGTGTTGCCTACCATACAACTCCCACAATTCCTACCCAACATATAGGATAGGATCTTGGAATTATCCCATCCATCTGGAAGGCATTACATTGGGGAAGCCTGGGGTACAGCATCGTGAATTTCAGAAATGAATGCTGCCACGTCATCAGGACATGATAAAGTTATAGCAAAATTCTTCTGACAGGACCAGAGTTTTCAGAGCAATGAATATTCACTTAACCTGCAATACAATGTAAGAAACACATATTTTAAAGTTAACGTTTTTAATATTGTTTAGAATTTTACTGTATTGATGTTTTTAAGTTATTCTTAAATTTTAATTGAATTGCACCTCACTTTAGGATTATTATTAATAATGCAAAGTGTGTTAGAAATTATATAACTAAATACTATCAAATAAATGATATATTCACCATAAAATTACTGTTTCTAGCCTTATAATGAAACACACTATGCTCATTCTTGTGGTTAAGAACTGGCCAAGTCCTTCATAACTGCTAAGATACAGGCGAGAACTACCAGACTTTATCTTAGATACCTGCTTAATATCAAACACCTGAGATGTGTTTGATTCCAAGTTTAAAAAAAAAAGTTAAACATGTTTGCTTCAAAACACCAAGTAGAAAAAAACATGTTGAAAGGTTATCTCTGAAGACAAAGCACCCTGGAATAAAGTTCAAGGAACCAATCTCAATAAGGTAACATTTTCCTTAGGAATTCCAGTATGCTGGTTCTTATCAGACACACGCTTTCCTTTAATTGAAGAATTCTTATGACACATCTTGCTTGCATAAGATGTTGAGGAATTTTAGGGGTGATAGAGAGAGCTTTAAAATTAGACTACATGAAGAGGTAAGAAATGCTTTTGATGTGCTCTTATTGAATTATTTATCTTAGCACTTGGAATGTTTCAAAACTGCATTGGAAAATGTCTTCATTTAAAAAAAATAGTAATATTGAAGTATGACCATGTGTTTCTGAAAGGCTCCAGGCTTCCAATCACCTACGAATAAATGAAAACCAGTAGCTCAATATAATAAGGAAGGGCAAGATGAAAATGTTGATTTGCTATATAATACACAAAAGCATTCACCACGGCAGGAGATAGCAACTCTGGCTGTGAAACGTCGCTAGAAGAACAGGAGACAACACAAAGCAGTGACAGTAACAAAGTGAACTTGTGCCAAATTGGTTTCAGACATATATTAAACTAGCCAAGAATGACTATCAACTGGCTATGATGCAACTCTAAGTTAGATTATCCTCTTTATATCAGGTTAGATCACTTTGCTGAAAGAACATGGATGGAGTGATTTGATGTATTCTTCTGTGATGTATTAGAGCTGTCAATCACAGCATAGTAACCCAGTGTACTTCCTCACACTTTATATTTCAGAGGGAGAGGGAGCTAATGATAGGGATTTGGGAGGTGTGGGTGAAACAACAGGTCTAAGAACAGCTCAAAACCTTAGCCCTAGAAAAACCTCTATCTGTCAGAAGGGTTTCTGAATATATATTTAGTACCAGGGAAGGAAAGGATCAACACCCTATAGATATATTATAATATTGCAATTTATTTAAAGTTATCTCATAAAAGTTAATCTGATGCTGTGTTTAAACAATGTCTAAAGTGACCTTGCTGTTCAGTATCTTTCCTATATTCTACGTAATCGTGGTACTTCAGATATATATCAAATAGAAGAGAAAAACAAAAGAATTTCCAGATCAGGAAAAAAATATTTGACAGTGGCAGCAAATCCAATAGATCTTTTAAAGATCTCCCTAGATTACACCGATTACACTTTTGAAGGAAAAAAAAATATACAACAAGACTTTTGCAAGGGAGACGGTATGCAACATGTTCCAAAGGCTCCATGTGTTTGCCTGTACTAGTTCAGGCACATTCCAAGCTTTAGCAGAAGGAACAATAAAAGGAGGTTTTAGCGGGTTTTCCCCTTCCAGCCTCATGAATGCAACAATGTAGATAGTCGCAGCATCCCAACTAGCCAACTGAACATCAGACTTGGAATTCTATTTGTGGTTTCTATGCTGTCCCAAAAAGGGGGGGGGGGAAGCTATCTGCTAAGGAAAATACAACATTAACTTGCAGCGTTCAGTTCAGTAGTGAGAACAGCAAAGACGACTTCATTACAGTTGCACAGAGCGTTCACCATGCTAGTGATTCTGTAGTCCAAGATTATATGCAACGTATGTTGCAGCTTCAACAGCTAAGGCCCTATTTCCCCATGGTTGTAGTTTTGCAACCACAGAAGCAATAGTAATGCTGAATTTCACGGTTAGTGCATAAGCTAACCCGTGACCTATGAATCCAACATTCTTAAAGAGATTGTTAATTAACACTATTTTCTTCCTTAGAAACAAATTAACTTCCCTAGCTTCCTTCCAGATCTGTAACTATCACTCGCTTGTCTTCCTCTCAATAGCTAATGCCTTCTGATCTGCAGAATCACACAGCTGGAAACAGTCATTTAAGACATCTGATCCTCTGTTTAATGCAGGAATCTAAATTAAAACATCCCTAACTGATGGCTGTTCAATTTCTGCTTAAAGGGGAGTCCACTGCAACTTAAATAAGTCTATACCTTTAAGAGCCTGACTCTACAGAGATATAAAGTTATACCTCACCACATTCTGGGAAAATGCCCAACCAGTAAAACCCTCCAGTTTTTAGACCCATAACAGAGTCCTTGCTATTTTCTCTTGCCTATTTTTTTTTTAACACAGCAATAGAGCATATGACTGTCAAGAGGACAAACTGGATTTGCACCACATTCCCCAAGCAACACTTTGCCAAGGAGAAGTTGGTGCAGGGCACACTGTTGAAGTTCCCACAAAAGTACATTTGCAAAAAATATATCCCTTTTCATCATTTCCACTAGTGTCAAACCCCACATAGCTGGGCAAGCTCCAGGAAGCAAGAATAACTCAGATTTCAGTAAGGTAATTTTAATGCTAGCCTTGGGTAAATATACTATCTTAGAAATTGCAACAGGAATTTCCTAGGTTTATTTATAGCGTGTTAATTAAGATGGAGTCTCTGAATGCTTTGAAATGCCTCTTCCCAGATTTATCTCCACCTAGGTTAAGTTGCCATTTATGACATAAGCTGTCAAATGACTCACCCACTGCTATCTCTTGATTGCTTATGTTTATGTTCTCATTCATTCTTTTCCAGCCTCTCCACAATCTGTCACAGCTATTAACAGTGTTCTTTTCTGTGTACCTTAAAAATGAATTCCTTAAAGACAGGAAGTAGGATTAGATGTACTCACCTGGGGTTTGATATTTACAGTCTCCATGGCATTTTGATTCAGCCATTTCACATCAATTTCCACATCAAAGTGCCCAATATTGCACACAATGGAATCATCTTTCATTTGCTCAAAATGCCTGAAATGAAATGGAGATCTTTTTCATGGACAGTAACTAGGCAGACACCCAAGGAAATGGACACTGTATGAAGACTTCCAGATGTGTGGCAGTAAGCGACTCCACCAAAATTAGCATGACGGATGTCTCCACCGTCATGGGTTGCTGCAAACATATGTGCCAGAGTGCTTTAACTTTAAGATCTCCAGATGTGGATTACAAATCTGGATTACAACTCCAGATTTTTACCTGACTTTCAACTTTGGGAGTTATAATCCCAAAATATCTGGAGAGACCAGGTTTGTGCAGGTTGACCCCATTATTCTATTTGAAAAATCAAATAGCACGGTATTATGGGCAATATATGCCCAACAATCTTATGTCAATCACAGAAACATCCTAGAAGTTTGTTTTTTTAAATAGTATTTACTGTATCTTTATTTACAATTGTATTTATTGCAAATAAGCTGTTTGGCAGGACTATTATCCTGAAGAACAGGATATAATTATAATAAATCACAAATGCCACACAGACATATCAAAACAAAGCCTAGATATTCCACATAATCAACCTTCACCAATCTGGGCCTTCTAGATATGCTGAGATGGAAACTTCCAGAATTCCCACCCGTCGGTCACATTTGCTAGGGAGCCGTAATCCAAGGACATCTAGTGGGCAGCAGTTAGAAGAACTGCCTAAATCACAATTAAACAAGGACATACTAACATGTAGTTCCATTACTTTCAAAAAAATCAACCAGAGTGCAGAATATTAAAATAGAACTCGAAACCGAGATTAATTTCACTGTCACACGTAACAGGCTGCTAATAATGCTTTAATTCATTTGGATGACCCATCTACTGTATGGCCTAATCATTTTCAGCTACTAAAATTCTCAGTTTAATTTTGTTCAGAGTCAGTTAAACAGAAGTGAATTAAACTGAAAGACTGATTTATTGCACACTGGTAATTAATATTAGATTAAAAAAATATTGCACAACTCCTCAAGGCAATGTAATCTTTAAAGAAATCTGAAGTCAAGATACATAATCTGCAAAAAAAAATAAGCAGACCTCATTGGGTTTCACCAACCACAGCATCTAATACTGTGTTCTCAGCTGCTAGGTTAGTCTATGTTATTTTATGTTATTTCTTTTGTTTTTAATTTTGTTTGGTTTTCATTCTGTTTTTAACTGTTAGCCACCCAGAGTCGTGCATATGAGATGGGTAGCCATATAAATTTATTAAATAAATACTCAGAGAGGAAAAGAAAAGTAAACTTATAAATAGATCCATCTTTTTAATATACAGGTAGCCCTCATTTAGCAACCATAATTGGGACTGACAACTCAGTCATTAAGCAAAGCAGTCCCTAAGTGAAACTGCAACTGTACTTATGATCATACTTCAGTTTTCCTTTCCTTTACAGACCTGGGAAGGTGGTAAATGCAAGGATTGGTCATAAGGTTACTTTTTCATCACTGTCGTAACTGCAAATGGTCACTAAACGAAGCAGTCACCAAACAAGGATGCCTATATGCAAAATGATTGAAATCTGTTTTGGAAGTCTGACTCTCAGGATTCATCGACTAACATCTAAAGTTTTATACTGGCAGCAAATAGCACTGAGAATAAGATCATAATTAAATCATCAAAGGAAGTATGTCAGTAATTCAACTTCCACAATTTTCTGCATCTCTGCTTAATATCACATGGAGCTATACCAGCCTTAACTAAAGAGATAAATACCTCCCCTGCACAATATCTGAACATCCAGTTGTTGTAACAAAGATGTTGCCTTCTTTGCAGGCCTCTTCCATTGTTGTAACTTCATAACCTGTAAATACAGAAAAAGGAAAATGTATGTTGCATTATAGCAAAAGGCATGCACTTAAGAAGTTCAGGCATAAAGATAAAGCATCAATAGAACCAATATATGCATTATAAAATTTATTCAGGATAAGGATTCAGTCTTCCTTATATAATGTGTGAAATTATGGTTTTAAAATGTACTTTGTTATACATAACTACTGGACTATGGTGGACAATCACCATACAAGCAATGCTTGTAACTACAGTTTTAATAGCTCCTTCTATTCATTCATATAATTCTTCCTTTTCCTCCAAAGAGCTTAGGCTGGAACATATACAGGTATGCTATTTTATCCTAACTTGGCAAAGTAGCTGAAACTGGGTGAGAAATAATTACTTGAAACAGGAACACATTTACAGGGTATGTCAGTGTAGTTAGAGCATTTAGTAGCAAGGCTAATTATGCAGCAATTAATCAGAAGCAGGTTTTTATATTTAAAAAAATATCTATTAAAGTTGCATATCAAAAGCTAGAATCACAAATTAGGAAAGCAGCTACTATTTAGAGCAAGCTACGCAGTGCAGGATGTAACCACAGCCATCTCTAACAGATGATCGCCCATCCTTTGTTTAAATATTTTCAGAATAGAGACCCCCACTCCTACCTCCCAAACCAACCTGGATGTTTGCAGAATGCCTGTAGCATTCAAAGCTTCCCTAATATTTAGCTGAAATTTGCTCCCCTGCAATTCCCACTTGTTGGTGAAAGTCTGGTTCTCAGGAACAAAATGAGTACTTGCTCCTGAGAAAAAATACTACTTCTAAGAGACAATGCCTGTTGAGAAATGTTTGCATCATGTGCAAAATACAAATGGACACCTTTTCCTCAGCATTATTTCTTCCTCATATACACCTTTCATTTTAATCAATTAAAACGTATCTGCAATTAAAATAGATATATTTAATCAGGTGACAAGAATGAATCTGAATTTGGAAAAAATGCTATTTTTCTGGTGCTGTTGTGACACAGATTTGGCCACAATACAGGTAGTCCTCATTTAGCGACCGTAATTGGGACCAGTAACTCAGTCACTAAGTGAAGTAGTCGCTAAGTGGTAAATCATGTGACTGCAGCTGCGCTTTCCAGCTCAAAACTGACAAGAGTAATCAGTTTCACACCTTGGCTTTTGTTTGCCTCCTAACCACTCCCCCACCCTTTAGAAGGCTCACCCCAGTGCTGGGATAATTAACAAGAAGGCAATTAATGTTTGTATTTACATTCATTAGAGAGAAAAGGATTAGAAGAGAGTAATCACACTGAAGCAGTGTGCTGGTGCCGGCAGCCACTAGGCAAAGAGTTGGTGTATTCCCCATTGTGTGCTTGCTTACTGTACTCTCTTCTAATCCCTTCATCTCCAATCTCTCCACTCTACAAGGGGGGGTAGAGGAGATATTGCCTTCTGAAATCGCTTGGTGGGGCCCTTCTTTTCTGGGGGGCAAGGGGAGAAGAGGGGCTACGGTTGGGACATGGGGGGAGGAGGGCAGGGAAGTGCCAGAGCAACTTGGGCATTGACAGGGGCAGGGGAGAGAGAGGCACATGGGTGTTTCCTCTCTCTTGCTTTGCAGACTCAAGCAGAGGTGATGCATTTGGACAGGAGGGGATCCGCAAGGGGAGAAGAGGGGCTTCCAGACACCCATCAGCTCCTGTGCATCTCCTCCTGCGCATCTCCTCCCAGCTTGTCCCTGATCCAAAGGGACCCCAAGGGGCATCTTCCCAGCCTTGTCTGACATTCCTGGTTCCACATGTATGGAGTTTCCACCCTGGTGCACTTGCAAAGACATGCCCTCGGGCGGTTGGCCGGCTGGCTTAAGTCATGTGGGCTCAGGACTTTTTCCGTTTTGGTGGGGTGGGAGTTGCAGGGGAAAGTTAATTGGCCTTGGCAAAAAGATGGAGCCCTCATGGTGGTTGCTGCTTCACTGCAAGGAAAAGCTTGACTGAGAGAAGGGGACTGTGAAGGGGCCGAGACTTGCTGAGTGGCCACAGAGCTGCCTCTCACTCCGCCCAGCGCTTTGGTGGATGGCCATGAATCACTCCCCCAACAGGGCACTGTGCCACGAGGAAGCCCAGGATTACAAGAGAATTAGCAATGGGGAACACACTGGCTGCTTGCTGAGCTTGCTGGAGACTGCTGGTGCCAGCACATTGCTTTCAATGTGTATTCCCTATTGTGTGCCTACTTACTCTCTTCTAATTTCTTCTTCTCCAACCTCTCCATTCTGCAAGGGGGGAAAAAACAGGTCAGACCCAGGACAATACATACCGACTGTAATGGCGATCATATGACTGAGGGAGGCTGCGAATGTCATAAATTGCTGTAAATTGGTTGTAAAGTAATTTTTTCAGCACCATCGTAACTACGAATGGTCACTGAATGAGTGGTCGGTAAGTGAGGACTACCTTTATGTTGCATATTTTGTTTTTCTGACACTATATTGGCTTGGATCAGTTTTTCTAGGCAAATACAGGATGCTAGAAAAGCTCTGCAATATCAGACTACAGCGAATGTACTACTTAACCAATGTTAAATGTTCCACTGTTTCTCACCTTCCATAGCAGCTTGCAATGCATTGATGGGGTCAATTTCTGTGATGATGACTCTGGCACCAAAGTTTCTCAGGGCTTGAGCACAGCCTTTGCCAACATCGCCATAGCCTGCTACGACAGCCACTTTTCCTGCAATCATGACATCTGTGGCACGTTTAATTCCATCAATGAGGGATTCTCGGCAGCCATAGAGGTTGTCAAATTTACTCTAGGAAAGAAAACAGCATTGAGAAAAAAAACATTCTTTCTAATTACATGTACAAGCAAACAAAAACAGCTGTGTTATTGTACGGAACTAAATTCTACTGGAAAGGACAGAGAGATTATTGAACACCTCACGGGTGGCTTTTGTTGCTCATGGAGATATGTTCCAGCATAAAGCCATGGATAACGAAGCAAGCCTATGACTCTGTGGGAATTGCGGGTTAAGTTCTGACGCCTGTGGTCATCTTCTTCCTCTCACAAGCACTTCTTTCCATAGCAATTGTCTACACAATTGTGTTACTTGTATTTACTCTTCCTTTTTCTCACTCAGGTGTGAAGGATCTCACTGGATTGGTATAGTTGTCAGACTCAAGTTGCTTTCTTGCAGCAGAAGTATCTTCTTTGGAGAAATTTGATGGGCTGCTGGTGGAGGAAGTTGCTCCATTTTCTGCTATGTGGCTCATGCTGGCTTCTCCACTACACACAGATCTTTCACACACTTGGTGAGGGAGGCCTTTCAGTCATGACGCTGGATGCTCTTGCTCCTTGCAGACTGTTTACAGGGAGAGTTAGCATGCTCCCAAGTGTTTAGTGTTGCCATTGGGCAGGATCTAAGAGGCACGTCTACTCCGTATCAGTGCCTGTCCTGTGGAACAGCATTCCTCCTGAGGTTCATATGGCTGCAATACTGGGAGGTCATAAAGCTGTAAAAACATGGCTCTTTCAGCAGTGCCTGGAGTAGAGTGTATTAATTCTCTTCCTGATAGTGTAATCTGACTGCTACAACTGCTTTTGAGTTGGTTATCTTTCTCTGATGCACAGCATGCATTACTGTTTTGTCCTTTGTATAATTACGGCTTCTATTTATTGTTTTAACCTTTATATGTAAGCCACTTAGAATTACTTTAGTGATTTAGGCAGCAAAGAGCTAGATAGATAAATTAAAAATTAAAAAACTAAGTCAAAACTGCAGATACATGAAAACTTTTGTTTATACACCAGGGTTTGATCTTTATCAATTATGGATAAGTGAAACCGCAGATAACAAAAGGACTACATGTAAAGCTGGATGTATAAGTCCAGGAAAATAGCAATTCACTACATTTATTATTGTTATTAATTAAAACTTGCATACCGCCTGACTCCCAATGACTCATTTAGATGTCAAACCATGAATAGTCATGCTCCATGATCATGTTCTCCCCACAACACCTTTTTCAAAGTATCCACAAGACTATTTTAAATTAATTAGGATCTTTCAACTTAATTTATTACATTTATTGGTTGCCTCACTCCCAACGACTTTGGACACTTCACAAGTAAAAACATTAAAAAATACAATAATAGATAAAAATGAAGAATAGAAAATGGCAAGGATGACCAAAAAAAGAGCCAGAAATTAAAAAAACCAAACCCACACAATCCACAACTACCTAATAAATAATAATACATAATAAAAGGGATAAAAGCAACTATATAATTCATGTTCATTGTACATATATTCTAAAACAAAAACCATTCTACATTTTGGCAGAGAGAATGGCAGAGAACATTTTTTAGCCTTTAAGCATTTTGCAATGCAAGAGAGACCCATAACATTTTATTTTTAATTTTGATGCCAAGTAGACTTCACCTCATTCCCTGTTTAGATGTAGTATTCTATAGCTTCATCAGGAAGTAGTCATGCACACTAAAGGGGGACATGGAAACAAGTCCTTCAAGGAAAACGTGAAGGGACAGTAAGTTACCAGCTAGGAAAGGAAAAAGAAAATAGAACACAAGAATTCTGGTTATGTTACCTTGGTGACAGAGTCATTAACATTAATAGCTGGCAACTTCAGGGTTCCATTGGCATGCATTTTGTAGAGATGATGGACCCCAGTGGTTGTCTCCTCAGATATTCCTTTGATTCCTGCAAGGAAAAATCCAACTGAATTTGCTGTACCACTCCTTACAGGAGGAAATCTTAGATTTCATTTTGGCAGAAGTTCCTTAGTAATGGGAAGGCATAACCACATTTTTCACATAAGAGAGGATCTAACTTACTCTAAGTCCATCTATTTATTTCCTTTCAGTGTAAACTTTTTAAACAGTGAGGATTTCAGATTGTTCAGTGCATGGACAGAAGAAAATGATATGTATGGTCAAGAGGGCTTCAAGGTTAACATAGGAAGAGGGATCTTCTCTCAGTGATGGTTAACAATATTGTGAAGTTGTAAGGAACAACACCTGGATTTCAAATAGCTCATATAAAATAATCCTATATTTACTTCAAGTTGTTAAGTTAATGACGGGACTCAATCCTGATTCATGGATGCACTGTTGAAGCAGCATCATTTTTCACATTGAGACTACATTTAGGAGGATATTATGTCCAAAATCATCTGAAACTTGCATAGCTGACTATGAAAAGGTTTGCATCCTCAAAGAAATAAGTACATTTACAAAAGTTAATAGAGGGTACAAGAGTTACATAGGCAGATGTTGAGATAGGGAATTCTGACAATTCCATGGTTATGGGTGGGGGGAGGGTGAGAAAGAAAATTTATAAGGCCCATTTAACAAGAATGCTTTCCACTAGTTATGGATGGAGCTGCTTTGCAAACAGTCACTAGGCATACAATAAGTATGTCTTCCACTGAGACACAGTTTCCACTTTTTTGGTTGTAGAAATATGAACATGTCCCACCATGGTAACTATACATATTTTATTATAACTTCATCTGCAGTGAATATTATATATATTATAATAACAAGAACTGAGAACAGTCATAGGCCTAACTAAAGAAGGGGGCATGTAACATTTATTGTTTTATTTCCTTGTGTGTGTGTGTGTGTGTGTGTGTGCGCGCACACACACACATATATTAAACAGTGTCCTCTAAATAATTTATATATTATACAACGCACACACTTATATGTATGTTGTATAATATATAAGTAACATTAAACATTATACCATTATATGTGTCCTCTACATGTTATATTGTTGGCATAAGATCAGAAATCATTCTTTATGCCTGTTCATATTCAGGAATATACTGGAATAAGTCTGTGACTACAGTATCAACATTTGACTGCTTACAGAACACTGATGTTACATTGACTTTTCATCTATGTTACAGTAATTTCCTTCATTAGGCCAACTAAAGTTCACAACAGTTGACTAAGCACAACTGTATGTTGTTAGTCTTAGATGGAATCTGGGAACAGAATGCAGATGTCCCAACTGGATTCTAGACTCCATCAGACTCTTCCAAAGACTGAGAGGATGAAGAAACAAGAAAGTTCAAGCTGGAGTGTACATTTTATAAATTACATTAATGGTCTTGTTTCATCAGCCTAATCACTTCACCTAGCTGACTGAGGACATGTAATTTGATAGGTCCCAGTTTGTATGTCTGTGATTTGCTCCCATTTCCACATAAGATTGTAGCCAAATGAACATCGGACTATCAACTTTGTTAAAAAGTTCTTGATTACTTGAAACCTTGAACATTATTCTGCAATCTTGAATTGGCCTAATAGATTGTTTTATTATGGATTTTGGAATATCCGTAAAGAAACGACCTTTCATTTTAAATTATCTGTTTTTCTATTTCCAGATAAGAAATATTAGGAAAGGAAGTGCATTTTTGAGAAGGTGGGAACAGCATTAGCTTGTCCCTGTAGTTTCACGCTCTGTGGATATTAGGTTTCCTATGGAAGAGTGTACTGCAGTAAGTGAAACTTAAGGCATTTTCATTAAACAAAGAAATACTGTAAGAATATAAATTTAGTTCTCAAACCAAACAGAAAAGAGAGCTTCACAGAAGTGAACAACAGTCTTGCATAATGACATGCTCTGCAGCAATTTATTAACTGATAGCCAATGGCCCTGCTGATGCAGTATTTTAGCAGACTGCACATTCAAGGAGACACAAATTCTATACGAAAATAATGTTGATAATTAAAGAACCTGATATCACCCCAAACTATTAAATATATTAGGCAGGATTAGTGTAATTGACACAAATATTTGAATCATGGGAACAATAGAGAAAAAGATCATAAATACCTCACACTGGATGCAAATTGTAAATCTTTAGAAGAACAAAGTCAGAGATAACCAAATATATCCCCATTTGTACTTCTCAGCATTAGAAAAAATAAAAAGAGAAAAAAGGTTGAACACATCCTAATCACTCCTGGATATGCAATGGACAATTCTGTCCTATATCTCTCCTGAAATATAACTAATGCATAAAATAGTCTTTGCAACATATTTTTTGTTAATATCAAGAAAAAATGACAAGGACAGTAGTTTCTGATAGAGTAGAAAGTGCAAGGCCTCCCTCTAGTGGGCCTTTTACAAAACCCTGTTTGCATAACTTTATATCCCAATTACCACATCCCCCTTTCACTTTTAGCACATGCTTCTAATGACCTCTTGTTGCATCTGCAATTTTATTTGTTAAAATTTATTATGGCTTAAGAAACCCTTACAGAAGCTATCTGCTAGTCACTCTTCCCTCTCTCATGCCCATGAAAGCTTCTATCCTTGTGCAACTGTGGTTTCTACATAACTACTAGATATACGCCAGAGGAACCTAATTTAATAGAAGTAGAGATTCATAACAGTAGCCACATAAATCATGTAACCTTGCAATGCCTTATCTATATATGATCCTCTTTATATGACCAAATGCTCCTGCTCCTTGATAAAAAACACAAAAGTTGTGTTCTAGGGCAGGCAAGCTCAAGCCAATTCAGTTTAAAGCAAAGTTGCAGTATATAAGGCATCACAGTTACATGCAGCACCCAACCGCTGTACTGCATGTTTTAATGCAGTGTTGTCCAAACTTGGCCACTTTAAGATGAGTGGACTTCAACTCCCAGAATTCCCCAGCCAGCCATGCTGGCTAGGGAATTCTGGGAGTTGA